TCACAGACCTGTACCCCTGAAACAAATAATATATTATATGTTAATAAAAAAAAAAAGAAAAAAAGATTATCCTCCAACCTTCCACCAGTTTACCATGCTCATAAGCAACCTTGCTCAAAGGTTTTTACTTTTTGAATTTTTGGCACAAATTGTGTCCTCGGGATCAATTCCCCACAAGTTCTTCAGTGGGTTAACAGGAAATGAATATCTCCCATTGGGCCTTGATTACAAATCGCCATATTATTCTCTGATAGAAAGCAGAATGTCCTTTCATTTTTATTCTCTTAATTCAAAATGTTAGGCGGAATGGATAGCACCAGCAGCGTCGTGCCTGGCATTTATTGAGCACTTACTATGGGCCATGGACTGTTCCAAGCACTTTACATGTAATAACTAAGTTCGTTCTCATAGAGACCCATTGAGGAAAGTGCTATTATTATTCCCATTTTACAGGTGAAGAAACTGAGGCACGGGGAGGCTGAATGACCTGCTGTCAGAGGGCTCAGTAACCAACTCGGGATCCCTAGAGGTCTTTCCTGGACTGGGGGGCCTAAGGGGCGGGCTTGGTCTACTCCTCCACCAGAATGCCTGCACTAAGATCTGCTTTATGGAGTGGGCTTCGGCCTGAGGTTTTATTTGGGGGAAGAATTCTCAGGCTAAATCCTAAAAAATGCTTGCAAAGCCCTGGCCTCACATCCTCACGTTACAAATGATGAGACTGAGGCTCAAAACTACAAAATCTATGCTTATTTCTCCAGACAGAGGAGAATGAGTGATTGGTGGGCCCAGTGGGTTTATTTGTAGTCCTCATGGGACTGCCCTTATTATTTTTTTCTTTTAAAGATTTTATTTATTTCTTTGAGAGAGAGAGGGAGAGACAGAGAGCTCGAGCAGGGGGAGGGGCAGAGGAAGAGACAGTAGCAGACCCCCCTGCTGATCAGGGAGCCTAATATGGGGCTTGATCCCAGGACTCTGGGATCATGACTCAAGCCAAAGGCAGACGCTTAACCGACGGAGCCACCCAAGTACCCTGCCACTGCCCTTATTAAAAAGTACAATTGACCCTTGAACAACATGGGGTCTAGGGACCCTGACTCCCCACGCAGTTGAAAATCTGCATATAACTTTTGACTCCCCCCAAACTTAACTACTAAAGCCTTCTGTTGACTGGAAGCCTTACCGAAAACATAAACAGCGATTGCTACATATTCTGTATCTTGTCTGTAGGATATATTGTATTCTTACAATAAAGTACACTAGAAAATAAAAAGTTATTAAGAAAAGGAAGAGAAAATACATTTATAGCACAGTGAGGTGAAAAATCTGCGTGTAAGTGGACCCGTGCAGTTCAAACCCGTATTGTTCAAGAGTGGACCGTATATAACCCCATCCCCTGTTAGGGTTAGCCCTGGAAGAAGAGCTTCCAGGTGCAAGGGGGCTCTTGCCTGTCCTTTTGTTTCTCCTCCCTGGGTGGGAGGTGACATTCTGTCTTCTGATTGTGGTTGACCCTCAGGGGTGCTGCTCTGCCACAAATGTTCTCCCCCAAGTGTGGGTATGAGCCCCTTCCTTCAGGTCTCCACAGCACACATAGGACTACCTATAGTCAGCAAAACAGAACACCAAGAAAAAACAAGAAAATCAACAGAAGCACAGAGACATACTGATATCAGGATTCCAATCTCTGATCCACAATGGGTGGCCTGCTGTTAGAACTCAGACCCTGCTCATTCTTTGGGCTTAGATGGCGCCCAAGGCCCCAGGCCTGGTTGGGTAGCTCGCTGCAGCCCCAGCCCTCCTCCACACTCAGGACCCGAACTCATAGTCTAGCATTCAGTACTGCTCTCCCTACATTTCTTTTTGTTTTTACTGTATCCTATTATTTTTTAATTAAAACTTTTTATTGTGAGAGGCGCCTGGGTGGCTCAGTCAGTTGGGCGGCCAACTCTTGATTTCAGCTCAGGTCATGATCTCAGGGTCGTGAGATCAAGCCCCATGTCAGGCTCTGCGCTGAGCACAGAGCCTGCTTAAGATTTTCTCTCTCCCTCTCCCTCTGTCCCTCCCCCTGCTCATGTGCACGCTCTCTCTCTCTCTCAGCAAAACAAAACAAAACAAACTTTTTATTGTGAAAGATTCCACATAGGAACACTGTAGAAAATGTGGAGTATATAAGGAAGTCGAAAGAATAAGAAGATCATCCTTTGCTCTGTCACCCAGATATAACCACTAAACACATATTAGTGTGTTTCCTTACATTTATTCAATAAATATTTATTGAGCTCCAGCATGTGCCAGGCTCTGGGTTGGATACGGGGGGCACCAGCAACGAACTGACTCCTTCTGCCAGGGTTAATTTTTTAAGTAACTGAATTAGAGTGCACATACAAAAGTTGTCCTCTCGGGGCGCCTGGGTGGCTCAGTCGTTAAGCGTCTGCCTTCGGCTCAGGTCATGATCCCAGGGTCCTGGGATCGAGCCCCACATTGGGCTCC